AAAGGACTGATGCTCATTCCCTCAGACAGGGGAGAGCTGAACCAGACCTGGAACCAATCCCAGCGTCTCCTTGCTGGTGCTGTTGATCACAGCCTGTGGCTCTGTTTTGCTGCTCGTGGCCCAGAAACCCCAGATGCTGAGCACGGTGACAGCTCAAAGGAGTGTGCAGATGCAAGCTTTAGCCTGGTGGCCAACAGGCTCTTGTTCAAAGTGTGCCATCTCCACTCAACACTGACAGGCATTTGCACCTGTGTGTCCCAGCATGGTTTGTGATGTGTAAACACCGAATGCTCTTAGCCCAGAGGATTTCAGAAACATCTGTGGAGCACCCTGTTCTGGGAAGTGGGGCTAATCCCAGCTACAGTGAAGATGTGAAGGAGGAGCTGTCACCACGAGGTAGCAGGAGCCCTGTGAGGGGCACAGGAGCAGGATTACAGAGTTTTGCTCTCTAGAGCCTGGCAGCCAACGTGTGGGACTCGTGCTGCTGCCTACCTTTGCCCCTTTGGCTGTTTGTCACCCCACAACAACCTGGGGTTCTGCAGAGACAAGCGCAGCTACCAGGGTCTCTCAACAGCCTGGCCAGGACTGCATCCTCAGAAAGGGGCAGCTGCCAAGGATAAGGAGGGGCAGGAACTCCCCTTCCTCTCTTTCCTATTTTTCTGCAACCAGAGCTACCCTGCGGCTTTCAGAGTCATTATGCCTGGGGCTTTGCTCAAAGCCATATTCCCCATGGAGAGGGTCTGGGTCTGGCTCTACAGCTTGTGGCACAGGAGAGAGGCCTCAGAATGGGACGGCATTCCCAGAGACTGCCTGTGGGCTCTTGCTTTTCATGGAGCAGAGCAGGACAACATCCACATGAGACAACTTGGCCACCCCTCAGTTCACGCTTACCTGATGGCAGTGACCGAGCGAGATAGGGAGTAGGTTCTGCTGGCATCTGCCCCACACCATCTCTCGTCCCAGCGGGGCTCAGTTCAGCACAGCTCTGTCCATCTGCCTTGCCAGGTGGGCTGCTGCACCAGGACCTTTCTGCCACCCCTTGGGAAAGTGCTCATGGATCTCGTGTGTTCATGCAGAGATGGCAGTCCCAGCCGTGGGGCACAGCTACACATGGCCAGGAAGGTCTGGTGCATGGACCCAGGGCTTGTGGCACAGAGTTGTGAGGGGTCCGAGTCGTAAGAAAGCAAGTGAAAGCCATGGTGGGGGAGGCATGTTGCTGTCTGCAGAGCTTCCAGAAATCCACGAGCAAGCGATCCCACAGCCCTCACATCTGGCAAGCACAACACAACAGCGTTTCCAGCAGAGCCAGCAGCCAAGGTGAGCCCACAGACATCCGCAGCTAAAGCACAGCTGCTCTGGCAGGTATGAAGGGACCTTCTCATCAGTGGAACAGGCACTGGACAGGGATTTGTCGTGAAAACTGGCTGACAGGTTTCACCCCGTGAGCTCGGTACGGCTGCGCCTGTGGCACAGCCCGCTGCGTTGCACGTCCCATCTAACAGGAGGCCGACTCGGTGACGATGATGAATTTACGACCTCCCACCCACTGCTGCAGCGGAGTCTGGAGCCACAGATGCTTACAGAGGGTGTCGTGGGAGCTGTGGTTTGGATGAATAATTTTCCAGCCCTGCAGCTCAGAGCCACGAAACCCAGAGGGGGAGAGAGAGACAACAAAACAGTAAAACAAAACAAGCCTCCAGCTCGGGCCGCCCAGCGAGTTCTGGATCGCACTGTGTTGTTCTTCATATTTAGCCTGCTCCAGTCTGGCAGCATCCAGCCACCACCCTCCTCCATCAGCCCCCATGCAGAGGTCAAGATCCTGGAGACGAGCAGGACCTTGTCCATTTCGACCCCTTTTCCCATCTCTTCTCCCGTTCCCAATGGCTGCCAGAGCAGGGGCAGGTTGGGTTAGCATTGCCAGCTGGCAGGAGAGCAGGAGCACCCAACCATGGGGTCCCCTGGGGACCCCCAGCCGTGGGAGCCTGCTGGTGACTGCTGGAGCACCACAGCTCCTTGATCCCACAGCTTCTCCCTTCCCCAGTGCTGAACCTCTGCCCGAGGCTCTCCCCTGTCCCCTGCTCCCTCCGGGGCACAGAGAGTCCGGCAGCTGCCACATCCTCGCCCAACAGAGCAGTAGGCCATTGCTTCCACCACAGGGAGCCCATGGCACCCTGACACATCCCAAGCTGGGCTCCTCCATGAGATTAGGTGCCTGGCACCAGGCCGGGGCTGCCCCAGCTATAGCTATGGTGTGGGGGTGTCCACTGCTCACTGTCTCTCCCACCTGAGCTG